TAATGCATTTCTTGTATTTTTTTAAATATAGGTACAGCACTTGTGTGTATCAATAACTCTTGGTTATTTGTTCACAGGTTCTTGGTAACACTGAAAAAGTCCAAACGATGCAGAAGAAATACGAGAAAAGTAAGGAAAAAGGAGTTAAAGTGTTCCGGTTTCAACCTCATGACCTAGTACTTAGAAGAAACATGCTGAAACTGACCAAGAAAGGCCATAATCTGGAAAGTTCCTTATAAAATTGTTGAGATAACCAAGAAAGGAACAATGAAATTGAAGCATTTGGCCAGTGGAATGTTATTTAAAAACAATATTCCAGTCAAGCAATTAATACCATACTTGAATGAGATTTTTGTTTTTTTCCCACAACAACTATACAGTGAATTCTTATTTAAATGTAAAAGAAGCTTTTTACTTTGTTACAATTCATGAAAGTACTACACTTTATTCAGGTAAACTTGTATGACCTACTCCTGGGTCATATACCATTTCAACTACTTGCAATAAGTTTAATGAGCATTAGATGCATATTGTTTTATACACAAAAGAATAAAAAGTAAAAATTCCTTAACAGAAAATTGGAAAGGAGACTACAAATGAGGAAAGAGGAACTGGAAAAATCCCAATGGAAACTGAAGCCAAAGTAACTACTCTAAATGAAGATACCCAAGAAATGGACAATAAGGACAAAGGTGAAGCAATGGAAGTAGTCAAATTGCACATAGATATTAATACCATAGATGCTGAAATGGTAAGATTGGTGCACATGCAAAATGCTGTGAACAACCAATTATAACTTATGTATTAATACACTAATCGTAAACAGAAAAATTAAAGAAATACATAAAACAAATATATATAGGGAACTTATAGTTCAAGAGATGTTTTTATGTATTTTTTTTTCAATTATCAGTAGGAAAAAAAATTATTATAATAAAAATGTCATGCTAATGTGTTATGAATATTACATACAAATTACATTTATTGACAGAGAAAAAACACCAGAACTTTGTCTTGCTGAAAAAACTTGACTTTGTTCCTGTAACAAGTGGAGAAGGGGTAAGGAGGAATAATGAAGAAAGTGATACAGGTAAGTTATCAGGTGAGGAAGACCATTGCGTTATCACTAAAATATCTCATTGAGAACCTAAGAGTACAACATTAATGTGTAAACAAGTTAGTCCATGTACCAACTTGCATCAAATAACAAGTGTTTTGGACTCTCCCACAGCCTGGTTAAATGATGATATTATTAATCATTGCCAGTAACTATTGAATATTCAGTTTCCACATGTCGATGGTTTCCAGGATGTTTTCATATTCACATCAGAAATAACTAACCATTCAGCTGTTTATACACTAGCTGGTAAATTTATCCAGATTAATAACAATCACTGGATAACTCTGTCCAATATGAATTGTGTGAAAGGAACAATTTGTGTGTATGACAGCACAGAATGTAGTGCAGCAAATTTGCAGCTACAGAAGCAGATAGCCTGGCTTCTTCATGCTCAATTAAAATCGACTGTCATTGAACATGTAAGTATTCATAAACAGGTAGGTTTCTAATAACTGTTGTCTTTTTGCTGCTGCTGTAGCTACTTCCATATGTTATGGAACTCCACCACACAGCTGTATTTGGGACCAGTTGAAAATGTAGCAACACATGAAGACATGTTTTGTGAAGGATGACACCATTTACATTAATTAAGATAACAAGAGATAAGACACCAACATATAAGTTGCAAAGTATGCCAGTGTACCTTGTACGTAGACAGCCGTATTTTGCAAGTGATACTTCGATGGTACAGTATTCATGGTGCAAAGAGTGGTACCATTCAACACGTCGAAATGTGGAAAAGGAAGAAGTATTTAGAGACAAGAATATGTCTTTCAGTTGTTCTTAACGTTAAATTATGAAAATATATTTATATTTTGTGTTTAGTGTTATTTTATACATGTTAGTGTTCTTTTAAATGTGCTTCAGTGTTTTTATACTTGCTAGTGTTCTCTTAGAGGTGGCAGTGTTATTTTATACATGTAGCTTGTATATTAGTTATATGTTTGTGTTATTCTATATTACAGTGCTTTCTTTTATTGAATTCTTGAATAACTGGTAATAAGGTGCATTAAATCCTACAGATAGTGTTCATTGGGTTTTTGAATTGGTCATAGTGTTTTCAAACCTACAGATTTAACTGTGAGAAATAACAGCATCAGTACCGTAAGGGTCAAGAATGTTGGGAGGAGAGGATAGCTACAAGGGGAAAGGTGGAGGCCAATGTGACAACACATTTAAAACTTTAAGAGTTCTTTACTGAATACATTTCTAGAGTATTAAACAGAAATCGTAACACTGCCCCTTCCTTAGTATTGTTCGTCCCGAACAATAGCTACTTACATTAAACAAACAGATAATTAACAATAACTTAATTAAATGTACAGAATTTACATACACAAAATAAAAATTCAATAAATTCTTAATTTTATGGGACGTATCTTCTTCTGTACTGGTCTCCGTCTCATTGGCTTCTGCTTCACGTGGTGTTCATCTGCTCCATCAAGAAATGTCCTATTATCAGTAACAGTCACATCAGTGGTAGTAACTTCATCAAGGGCTTCACTGCTTCCCTTCTCAAAACAGGGTAGTTTCTTCTTCGACAGTGGCTTTTTCAGGTGACACGTCTTCAGCGGCATCTTTTGTTCCATTGTTCACCTCATCCCAGCTGAAATGTCCTGGACCGTGATAATGCCAAAGCCTGTTGGCATGCACCATCTTTGGCTTACCTCGCCGACCACATTTTATTCGGAAAGTCACGTCTGAGAGACAATCCACTATGTCATATGGGCCTTCCCATAGAGAAGACAACTTAGGAGACTTCCCTTTGGTCTGGTACAAAGCTGACTTCAGTAGATCTCTTATTATAACATAACTTCATCATAAGAATGTGTTCTAAAGAAATCAAATCCACAATTGCAATGGCTAAAGAAGTCTTCGGAAAGAACGACTAGCTGCTAACTAAACACTTTGAGAGAAAACTGAAGAGCAGAATAATAGAGAGTTATGGCTGGAGTAAGGCAACGTATGTATGCGAGACGTGGACAATGCGTAAGGAAGACATAAGAGAATGGAAGGTTTTGAAATGTGGATTTGCAGAAGAGTTATGAAAATAAGTTAGATGGAAAAAAAAAGGGAAAGAAGAGGTTCTACGTCAGGTGAGAAAATAATGTGGACCTATCCCATTAGCCATGAATAGGAAGAACATCTGGATTGGGCATATATTGAGAGGGAATGGCCTGATGAAGGAGGTGATCGAGGGAAGAGTCTTTGGGAGAAAATCGTGAAGCAGGAAAAGGATGATGATGTTAGAGGATGTCAAACAAGAAAGGACTTATAGACAGATGAAGAGAGAGCTAAATGGAAGGAAGAATTGTGCCTCAAACTTGTTTAAAGACAGAACACTTGACGCCGATGAAGAATGAAACAAAATTCTCTTCTGGGATGTGGAGTGATTTAAAAAATATCAAAAGGACTTATCACACACTTTTGAACATGTATATTGTCAGCATACCTCGCCATTCGATAGTTTATATCTTCTCTATTCAGACACTCTTAGGCCTATTTGTGTTTCATCCATCAAGAAACTCTCACAAGATGGGTCTAGACTAGAAGTAATTGAACTTCACAGTTCGTGACCATGGATCAGTACCAAACTGATTAGTACTACTAAACGAAACACAATTACAATTGGAAATTAAAGAGAATATATGCGTACGGTAAAAATGGACCTGCAACTTATATAAACGGTGTTTCGAAATATCTTTTTCTCACATAACGATATTGTATTTATACAGGAATTTCAAGAATACACGATATTAATACTACTAACTTATTCTTGTGAACTATTTAACCAACAAACTGTTGACAATACTAACAGGTAAACGAAAGGCCAAGCTTTTAACTCGATATGCTTAAAATCGTAGGTATTCTTTGAACTCAAACGTAGAATAGCATTGTGCTGTGTATTATTGTTTTTCATCATTTACTGAAGTCTTACTACCTACAACTCCTTATTTTAATAAGTCATAGTAATGAAATCCATTGCTTTAAATAAGACTTCAACCTTATTATCTAGCTTAGTTCTAAGTCACTGAAAGGAAAATATTCTTTATATTATTAACCACACTACAGTTATTTGACACTAATCTCAGTTATGGAATGCACCATGGGAAGGACTTTTATCGTGTTCATTAGCCAGTAGGGAACTTGAGGTTTCTGAATATAAGTGATGTTAATACATGCTTTCTTTAATGATACTGATAATAATATAAAAGATTAAATTCCCAAAATTGCCATATTCGAAATATAACAGAGACAAACTAGAGGGTCACTCAATAGAGCACATACCTCCGCCAAGCAGCGTTGATCATATTCTGCCCTTAAAAAAATACAAAAATGTGTCTGTGGACCACTTTTGTCAGGACAATGAGGAATAATATTCTACATAAATCCACCAAGTTTCATCAAAATCAGATCATTTTTGACTGAGTTACAGAGCAAAAATTGTGTGAAAAATCATTCTTAAGAGATAAGGATTTGTTTTTTCGTAATCTTGGCACTCCAAATACTAATCACTTCTAAGTTGGGTAACAGTTCAAATGTATACCAACTTTCATCCAAATCCATTTAGCCGTTTGCAAGAAATCTTGCTGACAAACAAACACACACACGGGTGTGTGTGTGTGTGTGTGTGTGAAAACAATCTCCGTCGCATTCGTTGGCTGACGTAATAAGATTATATTGACGCACAGATCATAATGTAAGTGAAAGAAATTAAGAATTACTCGAGTCTGTGATTATTCAAGTTAAATAAATCCTGGGGCAATAAGTTTAAAGAATTTACCAAGTAAACGAACTTAAAAACTAGAACTTTACATCTGGTAAATGAAAGTAGATGTATGGGTAGGATGTATAAAAGATAATAAAAAAAGAAGACAAATTGAATTTTAAGCAGCAGCAGAAACTTTATTTGATAATGTACAGAAAAACAACAACATCAATTTTGCTAAAGATGCTCTGTCTTGTTTTATCCATCAAAAGTGAAATGGTTGTTTTGATCTTATGTATTCATTTCATAAAACACCAATAAGCTTATCCACAAGGTACATAGATTCTACCAAAATGACAACAGATGTTGAGTTTTGAGAACTTTGAACTGATACAGAAGTACAAAAACACAAGTTTGAAGCTCCCTCTTCGTTTCATGTACAGATTATCAAACCAGGTATGTACATTCTTCCACTTATTAACCAGCTTCTTTTGCTCCAGACAATAACACTCCACTTGCTATTCAATATACACTTTACTACTCCACAATACTATCACAGTTTTTGTTGCTGAAAACAATGGTAAATATTCCAGTACACTCAGTGAGAACACTGACTGTGAATGAAATTTAACACAAATGCCATCCACATATTTACTCACGTTGCTATAAACACAGAATTGTAGATACACATTAATTTTTTTATAAGAAAACTTTTTTGAACAAGCTTTCTACAGGATTCTAAGAATACAATTCTTCTAGTATGATTCACAAATCGTCATGGAACAGTAATAATCCCAACTGTTGCTTCACACTAGCACAGCAATGTAAACTCAAGTTTATAACCCCTTACTAATGTATTTAATAAAGGTCAAAGAGCACAGTAGAGGCAGATTACCTCATAAAGCCACTTACCAAGTCAAAAGTTCAAATACTTGCGAGAGTGATTTCTATTTTCCTGCAAATTTTAAATAATTCCACAACAAACCTTAGATATGGAGAATGAATGTAAAAAGTGTTTAGATTGCATATATAAAAAAAGATACTTAAATTCAGTGTATCATGAACTGAAACATGTGATTAAAGTAATATCATTGTAACAGATAGACTCTATGCTAAAGTTACATGTATAGAGGATATTAAGTGTGTGTTTATAGAATGATAACATCATGAATATTACAGGAAGGAATTAAGTATCTTTGATGATATAATGTCAGTAAGTTGGTTACATAAATTACAAACACTAACACTGTATGTACTGAGGATGTAGCAAAGTGTTTCAAATTGACTTTGTGATGAGTTTTACAGCAAAGGTGCAAGTTCTATGTATCACAATGTGTTTATAATGATTATGTCATCGGTATGACAGACACTACATAACTGATGCTTAGAATGAACATACAAATGACTTTCTGGGACAAGTCTTTAGAAGGAACAGGGATGTTTTGAAATGTTTTCAATGACTGTGTTAAACATTGTAGATAGGTTCCAGGCAGAATATATTTAGAATAACTGTAAAGTACTGTATAGACAGGAACCTTCTGGATGATTAGATCAGCAGAATTATAGATAGTTTAATTAGAAAAGTATCACAAACATTGTAAAATATGTGTAGAATGATTATGTCAAGGATATTACATATAATTTGTGTAGAATAAATAAGAGAAGTTGGGTAATTTTACAGTTTAATATATCATGTTTGTTAGTGTGGTTCTTTACAATGACCATACTGGTGGTGTGCTAGCTGTTAAGACTTGAGATTAAATTATGGGTTAAAAAAAATGTAGCCAGCTAAAATGTTTTAGATATGTTACAGTTCCAATGAAACATCCTGCAAACTGATTTTTCATTATATATCATAACAGTAAGATCCACAAGCATGTATTAAATTAAAAAAATGATTTTGTAACCATTAATGCAGGCTAATTTGATCAATCCAATCTACACAGCTACAGATCAGTTCTAAGTGTCAAATTGATTTTACAAATACACTCATCAACAACTTGTGTTAACAGCTTTGTTAACATTTATGATGCTTTGTTTTTCTATTTAAGCCGAGTAATTATAGAAAATGGAAATTTTCATGCTATACTTTTCCTGTTACAATTCTTTAAACACTAGCTAAACAAAAATAAACTAATCCTGTGAATTTTTTAAAACCATCATACTATGATCTAGAAGTTAAAAAAAATTTTATTCTCAGTTTTCATATTTCTTCACATTATTATCTTAGCAAAAATGACAAATTTTTAGAATTTAGAATTTTAAATACAAACTGGCTTAGCTGTGGTAATAAATGATTTAAAAAATATAATTGCATATAAATTGTCTTTCAAATGATATTACCAAATACATAACCAGAAGGTGATAATACACATCACTGCAATCAGTCTGACTATTACTTAAATGTCTTGCTGGTAAAACTATATTACACTGTTTGAACAGAAGTGCATTGTCTACTCCATATCACTCTCAGCCAGTATTGTACTTTTGACGTTACACAAAATTTAATCAGTTAAATTTCATATATATATATATATGATGTTTCCTGTCACTGTGACGTGACAGATACACAGTCTACTAGTGGTCCAGATTCAAGGCTGTCATCTTCATCACTTTCACTGTCTGGAGAAGTATTATCCTGGACATCTGCCTCACCCTCACTCAAAGCCACCCGTGCATAGTCGTCAGTGTCAATGGACTTGCAGAAATGAATGGCATATTTCAGCTTTTCCTGTAATACAATCTTGCTAGAGTAGCGGGGCATCTTGAGGAGGAAGAAGCAAGTGTAGCTTTCAGGCAGAAAGTGATCTGGTGGGCTGTACTTATCTAGGACCTGCATAAACACTTCATTTAACATTTTATAACCTTCAACATAAACACAACATTATAAATGAAATTAATATAAAACAATTACAGTTATGATTGTTTGGAGAAATCGAAATAAAAGAATGCCATAAAGTTATAAAATCAAACTCTATGAGCATTTCAAAATCAAAAACACCAAACTTCAGCCAAAGCTTTTCTTGTTAACAACTAAGTTGATGTACTTGCATAAGGGGTACAGAGAGATGTTAGGAACAAAATTAAAATATTGCCAAATGCAAGTAAACAAACACATTTCAGTAAACTTTTATTAAAAATAAAATGTGGTTGTGTTTGGCAAGTTAATCAAATTTATCGTTCAAAAGAAAGATTTCATTTAGTAACTTTTTGGTTCTGTTTAAAGCTAAAGGCCACCTAAATTAAATGTAAATCATACAACATCTAAAAATTTAATTTAGTCAAGGCTTATAAAAAAATAATTAAAATGAAAAAAACGTCAAAGCAAATACACCAATACTATATGGGGTTTTTGTTGTTTAATTCCAACACAGAATATAAGTATCAGAAGTTTCGCACTTTAGAAGTTCCATAATGTGAAAAAAAATATAATGCAGTTTTATCAGGTATACTCTGCCAAATGAACCTTAAACTATATAAATTATTAGAACTTATTTTTTAACATCAAGCATCTAGTTAAACAATATATACATTCACTTGGAGAGAAGGTTAAACATTTAGCACACCACTATATTTGCTATGCCAGGCAGAAAATGGCTTGAAATAAACGACAGCCGTTTTTTTTAGTATGACTGAAATCTGTCACATATGTTCAGAAATATAACCTTTATACATTATTGAAGTATAGTAAAAATAACAGAAGAGTCAATAACAAAAAAGATCCAATTATAAACTTACTCGTAAGACTGAAGTATGCTTCATATGTAAATTTCATATCAGAAACTTGAAATATGTTTAAACTATAATTTGTACGTGTTAAAAAACATATAAGGAATTTGTTTTTCCTAACTGTTTTTAAAAAGTGTGAAGTTTCACTAATAACTATAAAATACCTGGATGAACCAGTTTCATAAAAAAACAACAACTTATAAATAAACTTATACTATTCAAATACCACAAGATACGAGAAATTTGACTTTTCTTAATTTTTTTGTAATGTAATTACAAACATTTAATAAATCATTAAAGGTGCTGTATAATAAATAACAAGAACATAGCAAACCTGAAGAACAAAGTCACGGCCTCGGAAATCTGCAATAGTACGTGGTAAACGGGTCCTGCCCCATACAAATCTCAAAAACAAAGATCTTTCAGTGTTGCTGAATTCTTCCATTACTTCCCAAAACCAATGAACAAGCTGAGAATCAGATTCTACCCCTTTATAAGTAGCCACAGCTTTTAGCAAGTGGATAGGAATGTCAGGGTTACCACATACCTGAAATAATACATGTAAAGCTTTTATATTTAAGAAAAACTTGTTTTTATTTCTTTAAAGAAGTAAAAGCACCAAGTTTATGACCTTAAAAAGCTGTTTAACCTTTCAAGATTTTGTAAAGAGTATTAAACAGTACTTTTTATGATTTGTCTATTTATCATTTATTGGTTGCTCTATTACTCAATTTTTGTTATTTTCTATAGAGTAAGCACCTGCACTTCATAAATTATAGTTGTAAATGCTGAAAATTTGTTTTTTAATCATTACTTTCATGACTTCATTTGACTTATTACTTCTTATAAAGAATCATGATTTTCACTGAGTTTAAATAACACTTTAATAATTAATTACTGTGGGAGCTTCTTAAATATACACATGGGACGTAACAGAATTTTGAAAACATATAAAGCCCACATATTAAACAGTCTATAAGCAAAAATTGCACACCGGTATTATTTCAGTCCAGATTTTAAACTGTAAAAGTATAACTGAAAATTATCATTTTCAAACTCATCATGAGAAAACAAGAATACCACTGAAGGCTTGGAAAGACATACCATAGTTTCCAGTTCATAGCCGGTGAAGAGGGATAGCAATGGGACTGGAATAATACGAGCCATACCCTCTCGAACTGCAGCCACTTGTTCATCAAATTCATTAAGCCTTAATTGTGAAAAAAATAAATAAAATATGAAATCTTCTATTTCTTTTAAATTTTTCTGTTCTAACAGTTACAACTACAGATCATATACTTTACATATAGATATTTTTTTTTTCTAAATTACCTTTGCTCTTGAAAATCTGTTCATTTAATAAGAATAAGACTGACTGTGATATGTCCTTCTGTTTTTCTTTGAACCCAGTAAGCTACTGATTTGACAAAAACAGAAAATACCAACTCTAATACACTGGATGATGAAGCTACATTTATTTTTATGAATTATATACATTTTTTTCTTCATCAGTATTCTTAGGATTAATCTATATGTTTACAATGTAAGAAAGAGCCAGAAATAGAGTATTTCTTCGGGTGGTATGAAGCAAGATACCAAGTCTACGATTCCATCAATCAAAACTCTCAGTGCCTTACACCACATACATAAAACCTAGTTGGTAAACAAATAGCAATATGAATTAGAAACTCTTATAACAAAGTGTTACAATGTCATATCACTGCTGCATGGAATCCAACTAGTCCAATTAAAATATAACAAAGAGAAAACAAAAAATCCCTGCTTGTCTTTTTTTCACAAGTTTCAATATCTTAAAACAATAAGGAATGAGAAGATTTTGTTATGAGAGTTTAAAGAATTTCTTTCATAATCTAAAAAAGTTTAAACAATGAATATTATATAAAAACTACAGATAGAATGGAATAAAGTTAATACTAAATTATCACTGAAGACATTAATTGGGAAGAAATAAACTTAAAACAAATAAAAGGCTAAAATTTAATTATAAAGACAATGACTCTTATTGATATGATTATAAATTTAGTAAAGATTGTAAAACAACTCTTTAACTCGTTATTAAAGCCTCTTCGAAATTTTAAGAATACAGATTTATCTGTATCAACTGTGGTTTCAAGGGGAAATTAAGTTTAATAAAGAAATAGTTCACATCCCCATGCAACTTGCTTTGTCTTCATACAGTATAGATGCATAAAACGCATCAAGTTATGACTTAAATACTGCATAAATATACATACACACATTAAAAGAAAGGAGGGAGCTTACCTGTAATTAAGAGCAAGACGCACAAACTCAGCTCGATTTTCCTCAGTAATATGGTGGTATTTAGAGCTAAGGGAAACCTCCTGGCCTGAAGAACTGTGGGTACTAAATGGCATGTCTAGCTTTTGAAAGGCATCAGATTCCATGTCTCGTATACACATTAACCCTGTAGGTAAACCACATTACTTTTTTTATACATACGAAATTTTGATGACTTGAAATACTGACTTTCATTACATAAACACACTTTTTAACTACTTAAACTTTTTATAACAAAAAACTACTGAGTAATCATTCAAGCAAATAATAAAGCTGGCCTCTCATACATTATTAAACAAAGGTAGCTTTTAATTTATTTCTGACGTCACCACAATGTTAATTTTTACCTGGAATATAATCTCTGTCCATCTCAGTAAGATCTGCAGGGGTCAGTTGTTGTCCAGCTAGCAACTTCCAAACTGGTTCAGCAAGATTGAGGCTCAAAGGACTTCCTGTTCTGATAGCAATTCCCATCAGCATACCTGTTCAAAGTTTAAGTGTAATTATACAAGAAGTAAAATCTGAGATTAAAGCATAAGTATGAGGATTCAAATATCCCACTTTCTCACATTTATAATTCATATCCTTTTTATCATTGACATCTGATCAAGGTAACATAACTAATTTAATATACCATTCTTATTTAATTAGATTAGAACACAATAATTCATCAGTTGAGTGCCCTCATTGTTATCAATATTTTTGTTCATACATCCAGTAAATATTTCCGGAAGTTTGGCCTGCTTAGAAGATTTAGGTTATTTCTAAATCGTAAGATAAATGCAAAAAACAAAACACAGACAAAAAATCCATATACTAAATATCTTAATGAGTACTGTTAACAAAAATAAAGAACTCAACTTACAAACATACAAAAACTAGTTGTTTGCTTCATGCTCTATTTATTGCTGGTGATACAACAAGCTAAGTGGTTCAGTTAGCATTAGGTAGATGCCAATAATTTATATATAGTTTTAACTCTGGATGTTCTCATAAAACATCAGCCTTCATTACAAGAGAAATTTGGAAATTCCTAACTTATTAGCTTGCTCCAACACTCTGCATTTCCCTCGTTCCTTTTCTTAACAAACTACTTGAAAGTTATCATATCGGATCAGAAATTAATGCTGCATCACGAACAAAAAACAAATAAACAAAAAACTATTTCTTTATTCTCATGAAATTATTATAAGCAAAATTACCAAAAAAAAGAAAAAGAACATTTGTCTCAGAATTAAATAATTTGAAAGTTGAAGAATATGGTCTGGCATAATTAATAAATGCATCACATCAAATACTGGTGATTGTCTAATTTAGTTAGTTCTAACAATAAGTTGCTTCTACTAAATTATCTTTAGCTGAAATGTACATATTGGCCAACAAAGCTATTCTATAATGAAATGAGAATAGCAGGTTTAGTAAAAAGCAAGTCTTTTATACCTAATTTACTGTTGGCAAATAGCAAGCCTCTCGTACCTTGTGTATTATCAACCAAAAGCAAGCCTCTTATACCCAATTTACTGCTAGCCAACAGCAAGTCTCATGTACGTTCTGTTCTTTAGCCAACAGCAAGCCTCTTATATCTTATTTAATGTTAGCCAATAGCAAGCCTCTTGTAACTCAAATACTATTAGCCAATAGCAAACGTCTTGTAACTCATATACTATTAGCCAATAGCAAGCGTCTTGTACCTTCTATACTATTAGTCAATAGCAGGCCTATTGTACTTTGTGTACTGTTTGCCAATATCAAGCCCTTTGTTCCTTGTAATAATATAAATAAATGACCTTATAAACAACCAAATTGTCATCTTTCTTTAATTGGACACTCAATGTTTTGCTTTACAGATTGTTCAGGAGCATTCCACTAAAACACAAACTGTAACTGACGGAAAATTCAAAGAAGCTCATCAAACAACTAAGACGACAGATGTATACGAAGAAAGGATGGCATCTATAATTTTTATTATTATTATTTACTTTTATTTTTTGCACCCTATCTTTTTGTTATTTCAATCTGTAACTTGGATAGTACTTTTGTTTACTACAGGTAACATTTCATTATTGCAACAATACTTTTCTTTCAACAATAAAGCTTTACTACTTAATATGTCAAATACACCCTGTAGAAATGCATGCTATAGTTTTGATTATAATTTACTATTCAAATCATTTAAAGCCGTAAGCAAAACGTTGTGTGTCCAATTAAGGAAAAATAACATTAATATGTCTTCTATACACCAATATGCAATAAAGAAATTAAATAATGACCTTTATGTACTTTTAGCTGATGGCAAGCCTCTTATACTTTATGTACTGAAATATATTCAAATTAATCACATTAAGCGACATTTTGTTTAATTAACTGACTTGTGCCATTACTAATCTGCAGCTAAATGTGTGTTTAGCTCACCTACTGTTTTATGTACAGTCACAAGAATCAGTAACTACCCTCAAAGATTTATACTGATGAAACTGAAAAATGTGAAATGTTAGTATATAAACCACATTTAAACCTATACAGTTGCTTCATTATCCTAATTTTAGCTACTTAAAATTCAGTAACAACACTTTATGCAAGCTTGTCATTTTACCCAGTTTAATACAGACACTGTGATGTAATTCTCATTTTTAGGTTAGATTAGCTTTTATGAACACAGTAGGTACAATAAAGTTGATATCAGTTCAGAGCTGTAACACACAAGCTTATAAAAAAAAACATTTTTTCACAGCTTTACCAAAATGTACAATTCCAAAGTTATCAAGCTTGTAAAAATTGTAAATTATACAAAAACTTTAAACCTAACATTACTGTTGTCAGTCATACCAGATATGCAGTTATCTTTCACTAGCCAGGTTTTATTTATGCATATTTTAAGTTTGAACTTACCAAATGCCTTCTTTAATAAAACAAGACAAGCACATCTACCCTTGTTCTTGCAAATGATGTACTTTATTTTTTCTAATTGTCCACTTATTTGATAAAAACTCTTTCTAACTTACCCAAAAATTTATACATGTTCAGGTGAAGAGAAGACTGAGCTGTAGGATTAAAAACAAAACAATCTCGATTTGTTCCCGCTTCATCCCGACCATTTGGTGTTAGGATAAGTAATGGCAAGGACCCGTTCTGGAGTTCATCACACATTTCTGCTATTGACTCACTATAGCCACCTCCACAGTCATCAACACTCTCACCTGCAGAAAAACCACAATGTTCAGAAACACACTAAATAATTCAAAATATTCCAAAGAAGTGGTATTGCTGTTGTTGTTCTAGTTTTTAAATAACTTATAACTAAACTCATCTGAAGTCTTAATAACAAGAGTAACTCACCCATAAATTTAACCTTCCATACACGATGGGGTAATAATAGACTTTCTTGTGTGAAGAGTGGGACCTTCTCTACTAGCTGACCAAAAACTGACTTAGTCCCATCTGGTCCCGCAAGTCGGCCTTTCGAGCGTGATCGCTTTACCTAGAACATACATTGTTCAGCAAATGGCATAATTTTGTTTTTTTATGTTAAATTCTTTTTTTTATTTCCTGTAGATAAAACATACATTACATAAACAAACATATACCATAGAGTAATTATTGGTTATTAATTTCAACTACACTAAAACATAAATAATAACAAGACTGGATTATACAAAGTTGTAATTAAACAGTACACAAAAGATTTGATTAAATAGTTAGTAAAAATAAAACAAATAACAGTATAAAACTTATCTACACATACAATCATTTATTGTTTAACCTTGGATCATCCATTCTAGGTACATGTAACTATAAATATACCAAACAGCACTGAAACTGTGTACAATAGTATGACTTTCAAATACGTTTTAACACATTTACTCTTCTCATTTAAACAGAAAATTACATTAGCAGTGACTATGCTCTACTAATATTCTTTCTCAAAAAGTTTTAACACACAAAAAATATTCTGAGTTTGATACAGACAAACTCTAGGTTGACTTTAAAAACTTTTAATTCCTAGTTCAGTCAACAAAAAAGGTACTGCTTTAGCTTTCAAGGTAGGTTTAACAAAAAATTCTTAAACCATAATTTTTACTTAGTTTGTAAGAAAACTGTATTTTGATAATGTTATTATACTTTAATACTTTATTTTTAAATCTTTTCTATAATTTTAATAATTTGATTTAAGGATCATAAACTTCAGAAACAATACTTTAGAAATCACAAATTAAATATTTTGTGAATAAACTTCTTAGTTAAGTAATGATAGTATGATTGTGGAAAATGGATCTCAACTGTTGTCATGGTAAATAGCCTATACAGTCACCTAAAAAGGGTATCCAGGTTTTTCCAACTTCTGTGCTAGATTGACTATGTTATCAGTTAATTGGAAGTAGAAGGTTTCTTTTATCTATATTTTTCTTGTTGTTGCTGTTCATGTCCCATTACTGTATTTTAATTGACAATATAGTTTTCTCCAGCAAGAAGGACTATAGCAGATAGATCAATATTACAAAATTGTGTATGTCTGTTGTACTTTTGAATTATAACTCTCATTTCTCCAGTATATTAGAGGACACACACATAATGGATGTTGTAAATGGTGTTTTTTGTTCTGCATTGGATCTTTAGGTGGTTTGGTGTACACTAACAGTAGTCATTTTGTGGTTTCTGAATACTATACTAAATTTATATTGTGTGTATGTTTACAGAGAGAGGTCTCTGACATAGAGAAAAATGTGTCAGTAACTTTCTTCCTCTTTATTCTTGGTCTTCATCTTCTTTATAAAGTGTTCCAGTTTACAGAGAGAAGTCTCTGACATAGAGAAAAATGTGTCAGTAACTTTCTTCCTCTTTATTCTTGGTCTTCATCTTCTTTATAAAGTGTTCCAGTTATCACAGAACAATCCATGAGTATAACAAATATACAAGACTTAGTAATACCAAACTATCTGCAATATATACCTCATCATACCAGAGAAGACTATAAAATAAATTGAAATAATGAGATATGAACAAGACAGAAATAAAATAAAGATAAAAGAAACCTAGTACATACATCCAACACACACAGTCAACCTAATATATAAAAAATAAAAATAATAAAAGTATAAAATTGTATAAATACAGTTAATCGTGGTAAATAAACTAAATCAAAAAAAGAAAGGAAATGTAGAATAAAAATACAGGCAACAATGTAAGTCAGCAAAACTTGGATACCTTTTAGGAAGACATTCAAATAGTTAGTTGTTTCAAGTCCTAATGTGGGATGATCCCAGTCAAGTGGTTAACACAACAGATTTTCTATCTAGAAGACTCAATATCAAATCCTGCCACCAACATAGAAATAGTCTTTCAAAGGACTTTGCTGAAGATGGCAGTAGTTTAGCAGCCATAATGTACAATAAAAACTAGTTAGTAATTAGTATCTGGTAATAAAAAACTTAACTAACTAATAATTAGATTTGAGTAATTGTATAGGATACTAATCATGACAGAGATAAAGTTAATATACTATTATTATGAATTATATATATTGTATGTTTAAAATATCCCTTTTTTCACTTATATATTCATATCCTAAAGAATAACAAATGGTAAAACTAGTTAAAGATACAAGTTCAGTCACATTAAGATTTTGTGTTGGTTGTGCTTTTTGATGTTAACTCTTAAACATATGATATACAAGGGACACAAGAATACAAGATGCTATAGATCTAATTTAATAATTTCAAATATTGAAAAAAAAAATATGTACAACATTCTTGAGATATTTATGTCAGCAAGCGAGAGCTTATAACACTGCCTTTTTTTTTAGGATAATTGGTTATCTCTAACACCAATACTTTAACTGAATAGTGTTTGTCAATATATGCAAAATTAGATTTTAACATTTCTTCTTCTATAAAACTCAACTTCATAGAATCATTTTATTTTATTTTCTATTTTACTTTTCCATCAGAAAATCGCAAGCTGCTGAAGCTACTTATGTACTTTTTACCTGAATCCTGTTAAGTTCAATCACAGGACCATGCTGTCTCTCCCTCACCATAGTGGCCTGTACAACTTTACGGAATACGCTTTCCTGTAAAGATTTAATTGTATACATATACACAGTTGATGGATATTAACTAAATTTATTCAAATACACAACATATATCTATTCATGATCATATTGAAAGATACAATCAGAAAAACATAGTAAATGAAATTGGTATATTTATTGACATAAAATAATGTTGAGCACAGACAGATTTTTGTTAGTCATGATACTAATCAACCTTAATTGATAATAATAAATCACAATGCCAATATTTCAATTACTTGGATTTTGACTAATTGATTATTTTTGTAACTTCAAATTAACCATAATTTTGATTAGTTGATTATATTTGTGACATTAATTGATTTAATAATAATTTTGATTAGTTGATTATATTTGTGACATTAATTGATTTAATAATAATTTTGATTAGTTGATTATTTTTTTGTGATATTAATTGATTTAGCCATAATTTTGATTACTTGATGTATTTACAATTTTGATTAATCAGGTATTTTACCTGACATTAATCAATGTCATCAATGCTCATAGGATATCAAATAATTGAGTTAATCACCCAGCTCTAATAAAAGTGTGTAAGCTAGGATGTACAAAAATAAATTACAAAATTATGTGTGAAAATTATCTGTGTGTGTGTGTGTGTGTTTGTGTGTTTATATACACACACAAATACACACATGCATTTCATTCCTAAATCAAAGATGTAGGAATTAGTGAAATGAGTTTAATTATTCAGTGCCTTTAATATCAGTAACTTGTTTAGAAGTTGCTGTTTGTTATTTCACTACTAAGTAATTTACACAAGGACTTTTAGGATGTGTATCTTCCTTCAACAAAGATGTTAAATCAAGACCAACCTGTTTATCCAGTATTTAATAACAACTACGACTATCAGCTACTGAGATCCTATGTGCTTACAAGAATCCTGCTTATCAAAATAAACTGAACTTAAAAAAAAAAACGATCTATACAAGTATATAAAATTTTAATAAAAAAAAACAGACACTTTTGTCAGTTTTAGGGTTACACAAAGTTTGCAGCTAAAGTAGTAGAAGTAGTTTGAATCCATTATTTTAAATCTTATAATAATG